CCTTGACAGCTTCAATCTTTTCTCCATTGATAAGAATGTTGTTTATTGGTCCAGTGGTGAGGATTTTTGTTTTCTTGACATTGAGATGCAATCCATATTGAAGGCTGTGCTCTTTAATCTTCATAAGTAAATGTTTCAAGTCCTCTTCACTTTCAGTGATCAAGGTTAAAAGAATTAACCTTTATATAAAAGAATTAAAAGTTTATAAATCAGTGGTGTTTTTTGTCATGTAGATTTGTTTATTTATGATACTTCTATATCTGTGTTTATTTCTGGGTGGTGTTGTCATATATGTTAATCTCAAGTTGTTATCTACTATTGTTGGTTCTCTGTCTAAAGAGCTTCCTTTACTATTTTTTAAGGTCTGGTTGCTACAAATTCCTTTAGCTTTATTTATCTGGAAATGTCCTAATTTTGCCATCATATTTGAGGGGCAATTTTGCTGAATGGTGTTGCGCTATGGGATAATTCACTGGACCACAAGGTCAATGTTTCAAATTTACCAGCAACTCCATGGAAACCTATGATACTTAGTTGGCATTTTTTTTTTTTTTTCCTTTCAGAGTTTTATATCTGTCATCCCATTGCTTTCTTACTTGCTTGGTTTCTGTTTAGAAATCAGAGCTTAGATTCGTTGATTCTCCTTGTAGGTGACTTTTTGTTTTTCCCAAACTGCTCTCAGAAATTTTTCCTTGTTTTTAGTTTTGGAGAATTTGATTATGATATGTCTTGGTGATTTTTTTTAGCTTTTATCCTGTTTGGAATTTGTTCAGCTTCTTGAATGCATATGTTCTTATCTTTCAAGGTGTAGGGAAGGTTTCTTATAACAACTCTTTGAAAGTTTTCTCTGTGCTTTTTTATTATCTTTTCATTTTGGAATTCTGATCATATATAAGTTATTTCTCTTGATGGTGTCCCTCATACTTCTTAGACTTTCTTCAGATTTGTTCGTTCTTTTTCTGATTGCCTCTCTAACAGATTAGAATTGAGAAATTTGTCTTCAAGTTCACTAATTCAGCCTTCCTTTGATTTATTTCTATTCCTTTTCACTTTCAATATATTAGGTACTTCTAAAATTTTAAGATTAATCTTCTGCACTTCATTTTCCTATTTTTACATGGTACTAAGTTTTTATTTATTTTGTCTATTTGTTCTTGTAGTACTTCCCAGAATTCTTCTGATGTTTTGTTTGTGTTTTCCTTGGTTTCATCTATAACTTTCTTGATCTTTCTCTCAATTGAAGGTAACTAAATATAATTCTTCTGAAATTTTAATATAATTTTTAATATAATTCCAATAATATTTCTTCCTCAGAAAGTTCTTCTAGCTCTGTATTGTAGACATTTACTTGAGACACCCTGTCTTGTGTATTCATGTGAATGAAATTGTCTGTTTTCTCTGAAACATGTGGTATTGTTGTATTTGGTTTCAATTGATTGTTTCATGTTGGCATGTGCGTAGGCAGTCACCAGCTGTCTCCTGATGGGTATGGTGATAATATGAATGTATGTACAGTTTTCTATTCCTGTTTGTGAAGCACAGTTGAGGGCAAGATTGACTAGTATTGGCTACTATATCTATGATTGGGTGATATAGGCATGAATAGTAGCCCTGACTCAATAAGTGGGGCTGAACACGTGATGGGTGTTACTGGACTGTATGTGCATGATTGCTATCTTTCACTGAGTGGGCAAAGGGGAAGAAAACAAAGCAAAGCAAAACAAAAACAAACAAGAGACAAAAACATACAACAGCAAAAAGGAAAATAGTAAAATAGAAACAAACTGGCAAAGCAGCCACATAACTAGAAGAAAATAAAATGCAATGACTAAATAAAAAGGGAGATAAAATAAAAACAAGAGAAGAGGAAAAAGAAAGGAAAAATACAATAAGCACAAGGGAAGAGAAAACAAATAGTAAAGAACAAAATCTAAGAGAAAAGATAAAACAGAAAGAAGGTAAAGGAAAAAAAGGAGAAAATGAATAGTAAAGAAAAAAGCAAAGATGAAAAAGCCTAAAGGAAAGAAGGGAAAATGAAAAGAGAAAGGAAGAAGAGAAAGAAAAAAGAAAAGCAGAATGAAAGGATTTTTTTAAAGGGGGGATGGGAAAGAAAAGGAAAACAAAAAAAGAAGAAAGGAGAAACCAGGGAAGGGGAAGTATCCAGAGAAGAGAAAATTGTGGGAAACAGGGAATCCATTATGTGTCAACACCCTCTGTCATCCAAGGAGGCCCTGAATTGTGTGTAGGGTGGTGGTGGTGGAATGTCATTGTGTTAAGTGCTGTCAAGTTGGCACAGACACATAGTGACCCTATATAGGGTTTCCGAGGAGCATCTGGTGAGCTTGAACTGATGGATAGAATACATGTCCTATATTGAATTCCTGCAGGTCTACAAGTTGTCTGTGGTTAGGCAGTGGTTAGTGCCAACTCAGAAGGTGGCTTAGGTCAGGGTGCTTGTTCCCAGAACAAACTCTTTCTGGCACAGGAGCAGGTGGGTGCAGGCTGCTGGTTATGGAAGGAGTGACCAGGACCTGGTACTGAGCATTCTATTGATCTAGTGAGGGAGAGTCCAGTCCCTCCATATAAAGGGGAGTTGCACCCAGTGCAGCTCCAACCTCAAGCCAAGCAGAGGCTATGCAGGGTGGGCAGGGATGTCACCAGACAGTGGGTAGGTGAGAGTGGGGACTGGCCATGATTCTGGTTACCAGGAGGGTGTGGGGAACAAGGAAAGATCCAGCCTTCTCATGGTCAACCACCAGAGTGCCATTGTGTTGTCAAGTCACTTTATCAATGGGACAAATCTTGTAAATTCAAAATGGCTGCATTGCGTCAGTTCACCTGTTTGCCTCCTCTCTCACAGCTTTTGTTCAGCTTCTTTTCCTAGTCTGTAGTCAATCCACTTCTCGATTTTTTTTTTTTCCTTTGAAATTTGGGACTACAGTATTATCATTTGTGTCTATTTTATTTGGTTTCTCATGCCTTTACTGTAGAGGATCTATATAGCATGTTAACCTAATCTGCCATCTTGCTGGGAGTGCAACCATTTGTCTTAACAAACTATCTGCACCTAAACTTTCTGTGTGGTGTTGTAGATCTGTAGGGGGTGGGAGGGAGGAGGTGGATAGAGAAGCAAAAAGTGGAAAAGTGAGGGAGGAGTCTGGCTTCTTGGTTATATTTCTATATTCTTTATTTTTCTTTATATTTTCTGTTATCCATAACGGGCACTCATTGTCTTTTAATAAGAAAACATGTATTTAAAACCAGCTGACCCTCAATGTTCTATGCACTGAAGAGGAAACTGGTTTTACTACAAAGGCATTGGAAGGAAAAGGAGCGAACAATAAAAATGCAGAACAATCTCCAAGAACAAAGTATCCTTTGGTGGTTTTGTTATGATGAAAACTATGCAGTGCAAGTTCCTAGTTTGTGGTCATTTTCTGCTTACTGTTTTCAGCTAGCAAAACAAAAAAAAAGTTTAAGTACATTCAATCTTTGTCACTCCATGAATATTCTCAGGATAGTTGTTGTTGCTGTTAAGTGCCATCAAGTCAGTTTTAACCCATAGTGATCAGTATAGGTTTACAAGGAGCAGTTGATGGGTTTGAACCACCAGTGCCTATCCTAAAGCACATTGTTGTTTGTTGTTCTTGAGTGCCATCAAGTCAGTGGTGGGTGTGAGCCACCAGCTTTGTGGTTCATCAAGGTAATTCTCAAGTGAAGATTAACAAGACATCTACATTGGTTGACTTTGTTGTGGTCCTTTAAGTCTTATCTACTAATTACTGAAAACAACTAAGTGTTGTTTGAGACCCAGCAAAAGCTAAATAAGAAAACAAATTATCTTACCACCTACACCCCATTTACAACATTTTCTCCATCAAAGGTCCATTTGATATGAGAAACTTATTCCAGTCACTCTTTTAAGTGTCCTTCTTAGTACTCCAAACGGACATCTCACAGATGAAGAGACAAAGGCTCAGGGAGGGAAGTTAATGTGGCAAAGGCTATGTGACATGCTAAGGAGTTTAGAACTTGGAGATTTTAGTCAGTGAAGTAATATTTTATCTGCTTTAAAAAGATACTATGAGTGACAGAATATAAGGTAAACTAAAAGTGAAAATGCCAAGTAAGCAGAGCTAAAATGTAAGATGTGTACCTTTGTATCTGCTAACATACAACACCAAGGAAAACCAATCTGCTAAACCAAATCTTCCTTCAAAAATTTTTTTTTCCATAAAATTTTGGAATTTTTTCTTATATGAAACTGTCAGTATACACACTACTGCTTTGCTCTATTATCAAGAAATATTTTTAAACATAACAATTTGAGTTATTTTGTTTATTCAGTATTTGAAGGATAATGTAAACATTGAAAGATTCTTGCAGAATTAAACTAAAAGTGAAAAAAATGTTATATATCAAACATACAGATTTAGGTAGATAGTAGCTAATTTTTCAAAAGTTTCTTGATTATTTTCTTATAGATGGGGGCCTGCTGGTCCAGGCAGATCTTCCTTCCATTCTTCAGGGTAGCTCTGCCAGGGAAAAGAGAACAGTTTTCAGTCCTCCTGCTTGAAGTGGACTAAATGCAAGCAGGGGCATGCAGAGGGAACAGAGAACGGGCACAGATGCAGTAGTGCAAAGACTCACATCAGTTGAACCTTGGGGCAGTGGAGCCCTGCCCTGATCACTTCCAGGCTGTTGACATGCTTGGGATGGACGGTGGAGGTGGTCCTCACACACAGGCAATGTAGGTCTGAGTCTTCTGCAGCAGGGTCATCTGTTAGGTGCAGGGTTGGGATAATGGTGCAAGGATGAGAGAAAAGTGGAAACTCCATGAATAGTTAAGAACAATTTAAAGATCTTTTATACTTGCATTTAGACTTCATTTCCTTATGCACATATCATACGTTCCTCAGAAAGAAGTTGTACTGACTCACTACAATTCTTGGCACCATGTCTATTTAGTTCTTATCACTAGTGGTTAATGACTCCTCTGAAACCCCAAGAATTCCCAGTCCCTTTCCCTACCTCTCCAATCCCTCCCATCTTTGCTTTTGCTCTCACCGGTGTCGCTGGCAGAGGCCACCATAGCTGGCAGGAGCAGCAGCCCCAGGAACAGTAGCCCCAAACTAGACGGGGTATGCCACGTGCCAGTGCTCCTTAGCTGGTTCATGTCACAGAGGTTTCAGTCAGATCAGCGCGTTCAGGGGTCGTCAAGGCAGGAGCTCTGCAGGCAAGTGGCTGCTGGCCTATTTTATCTCTGCTGTTAGTCCACTCCGGAAGTCTTGGGTGGAGGCTTGTGGTGCACAATTATAGACACTTCTGAAATGGAGCTGGGTGCTGGCCAGCTAAGATTAAACAAACAAAAAGAGCTGGTGTTCTGCTGTTCTGGCTCCTAGCTACTAACAGGATCCTTGTGTACACATTTAGGAGTCAGAAACAGCACTTGAACTAAGATGTGTATTTTTTTTGTTATGTGTAATAATAAAGTTCTTGGACACCATGCTGCACATTAACACTGCATATATTTTCAGGACATTTTCCGTTGCATTCCTAACTCCCACCTGCGTTTACCAAGGACTACCTGTAGAAACTATTGCTTTCTCATTTATTTAATATTTAGTTGAATTTGTTGGATATGTGTATTGAGAGTGTACTGTTTGAAATTATTTTCAACAATTAAAAAGTTGAATTTGGTCTTTAGGGATGACCCCCTACCAAATTCCCCCTGACTGTGGATGCCTCCCCAGTGTCGGTATGCAGCTATCTCATTATATAAGTCATTTATCCAGGGGGTTTATCATGCTCCTTTATTCTCACTCATTGAAGAATTACAAAATTACAAATTACAAATTACAAAATTACAAAAATGCATTATTTTAAAAAAATATATTGTCCCTGGATCTTGATAAAAGAGAGGTCAGGAGGCTCTGGATGATAAAAGAGAGGATGGGGGCTACGCAGGCCACTGTTGTCAATGGCTGCTGTACTCTGATCTAGAACAGGGATGAAACGGGCTGCATTGTGGTGGGAGCCTTAAGAGGGTCTCTGAAGGAGTACACTGCATCTGGAAGTACAAATATATGGAAAGGTTGTGGAGATGAGGGTGGAGCTGAGCAAAAAACCCTGCACAAGAAAGGTGGAGACATCAACATGAAACAGCTTCCTGAAAAGGAATGAATTTTGTTCTTTATCAGGATAAAGTGCACCCTCATCCCAAATCCAGAGACTCTATGTCAGTTTCATTAACATAGGTGAACGACTGGCCTCCAGACCCTGCTCCATGAAACTAATGCTTAACAGGGCCAGACTTCTGCAGGGATATGCTTTTTAATTCCTCAGTCTGGAATGTTTTTTTCTCTTCATCAGCTAGCAAAGTCCTAGTCATATTCCTGACGTCAGCTTAAATATCACTTCCTCAAAAGGGCCTTCCCTGACAACCAAATGTGATCGTGTTCCTTTGTTTTATCTTGCAACACTCTTTGCTTTTCTTATTTGTTATTTCTCGCAGGTAATACATATGCACACACACTCATACACACATTGTTGTTGTTAGGTGTCATTAACTCTAACTCATAGTGACCCATGCACAACAGAAAAAAACAAACAAACCACTGTCCAACACTGTCTTCGCATTTATTGCTATGCTTGAGTCCATAATTGTAGCCACAGTATCAGTACATCTCACTGAAGGACTTTTTTGTTTTTCCTTTGTGGTGAACCTGTACTTAACCAAGTATGATGTCCTCCTCTAAGGACTGGCTCTTCTTAATAGCATGTCCAAAGACCATGACATGAAGTCTCTGTCCATCCTCTGCTAAGGAGCATTCTCACTGTCGATCTTCCGAGCCAGATTTCTTCTGCTACTTGTAGTCTGTGGAACACTTAATATTCTTCACCAATATATATGCATACATATATATATCATGACACATCTATCTATGTATCTATGTATCTATGTATCTATGTATCTATCTATGTATCTATGTATCTATCTATGTATCTATGTATCTATCTATCTATCTATCTATCTATCTATCTATCTATCTATCTATCTATCTATCTATCTATCTACAGTCATGTAAGTTTAAAAGTGTATAAAACTACTTCTTTCCCTAAACAGAAAGCTCTATTCAGGTTAGAATGGACCAATAAATAACATCATGATAAATGGAGAAAATACTGAAGTTGTCAAAAACTTCATTTTGTTTTGATCCACAGTGAACACTCATGGAAACAGCAGTCAATAATTTAAAGATATATTGCATTGCAATAGACCTCTTTAAAGTGTTCAACAGCGATTACCTCATATGCATGTGAAAGTTGGACAATGAATAAGGAAGACCAATGAAGAACTAATGCATTTCAGTTATGGTTTTGGGAAAGAATATTAAAATGTGGGTTAATGTTCGGTGGGTTAATGTTCTAGACTGAAAGGTCGCTTTGAACCGCAAGGTCAGCATTCAAGCTTACCAGCTGTTCCTTGGAAACCCTATACAGGGTCGACCACATTTAACATCACAGTACATTGCCAGAGCAAACAAATCTTTGTTGTGAGACGTGCAGCCAGAATGCTCCTTAGAAACAAAGATGGAAAGACGATGTCTCTCATACTTTGGACATACTATCAGGGGAGACCATTTCCTGAAGAAGGACGTCATGCTTGGGAAAATGGAGGGTCAGTGCCAAAAATGAAGACCCCTAAGGAGATGGATTGACACATTGGTAGCAGCATTGGCTTCAAAGGTAACAATTGTGAGGATGGTGGAGGACCTGATAGTATTTCATATTATTGTGCATACGGTTGCTATGAGTCAGAACCGTCTCAACAGCATCTAACAGCAATAACATGAGGTTAGAAAGCATAATAATAGCTGTTCTACTACACTAGTTGGGACTTAATACAAAGTAGCTCAATTGGTGAAATAAATGTTGAAGATGATGAAATGAAGAGGAGGCTTTGGCTAATTCATGTGTCTGTTACTATGTGTAATTGGTATATGCTTCTATATTAGCATGTGCTGCATACATGTATAGTTGTGTTGAGAGTTATATGCCATGGAGTTGGTTACTACTCATGTTGTTGTTGATTTTAGGTTCCATCAAGTCCGTATCAACTCAAAGCAACCATTTGCACAACAGAACAAAACACTGCCCAGTCCTGGGCACAATTGTTGCCAGGCTTGAGCCCATTGATGCTGCCATTTTGCCAATCCATCTGGCTAGGGGTCTTCCTCTTTTTCTCTGACCCTCCACCTTACCAAACATGATATCCTTCTCCAGCGACTTGTCCCTTCTGACAATATGTCCGAAGCATGAGAGACAAAATTTGGCCATCTTGGCCGCCAAGGAGCATTCTGGCTGAACTTCTTCCAAAACGGATCTATTGGTTCTTTTGGCAGTCCATAGCACTTTCAATACTCTCCTTCAACACCATAACTCAAAAGCATCAATTTTTCCACAGTCTCCCTTACTCACTGACCAGCTTTCACATGCATATAAGGTTATTGAAAATACCATGGCTTGGGTTAGGTACACCTTAGTCCTCAAACTGACATCTTTGCTCTTCAATACTTTAAAAAAGTCTTGTGCAGCAGATTTGCGTAATGTAATAAATACATCATTTGATTTCTTGACTGCTGCTTCCATGACTGTTGATAGTTGATCCAAGAAGATTGAAGTTCTTGACAACTTCAATCTTTTCTCCCTTGATAAGAATGTTTTTTATTGATCCAGTGGTGAGGATTTTTGTTTTCTTTACATTGAGTTGCAATCCATACCAAAGGCTGGGCTCTTAGATCTTCATCAGTAAATGTTTTAAGTCCTCTTCACTTTCAGCAAGCAAGGTTGCATCATTTGCATATTGCAGGTTGTTAGTGAGTCTTCCTCCAATGCTATGCTCTTTTTTTCATATAATCTAGCTTCTCGGATTATTTGTTCAGCATACAGGTTGAATAAGTATGGTTAAAGAAAACAACCCTGTCACACACCTTTCTTTATTTTAAGCCATTCAATGTTCAAATGTTCTGTTGGAACAACTGCCTCTTGGTGCATGTACAGATTCCTCATGAGCACAATTAAGTGTTCAGGAATACTTATACTTCGCAATATTGTCCATAGCTTGTTATGATCTACACAATCAAAAACCTTTGCGTAGTCAATAAAGCACTGGTAAACATCTTCCTGATATTCTCTTCTTTCAGCCAAGATCCATCGGACATCAGCAACGATAGCCCTCATTCCACATCTTCTTCTGAATCTGGCTTGAACCTCTGGAAGTTCTCTGTCAATGTATGACTGTAGCTGTTTCTGTATTACCTTAAGTAAAATTTTACTCACATGGATATCAAAGAGTTTGTCTGATGATTTCCTCATTCCGTTGGGTCACCTCTCTTTGGAAGGGGCATAAATACAGATCTCTTCCAATCATCCGGCCAGATAGTTGTCTCCCAAATTTATTGTCAGAGATGAGTGAGTGCCTTCTGTGCCACCTCACTTTCTTGAAAGATTTGAATTTTTATTCCATGAATTCCCTGTTCCTTGTTCTTTGCCAATGCCTTCAATGCACCTTGGACTTCTTCTGCTTTCAGTATCATTGGCTCTTGATCATATGCTACCTCTTGAAATGGTTGAACATCAACTATTTCCTTTTGGTACAGTGATTTTATGTATTACTTCCTTCTTCTTTTGATGCTTTCAGCATCATTCAATAATTTGCCCAGAGAATACTTCAATAACGAAAGTTGAGACTTCAGTTTTTTCTTCAGTTCCCCTAGCTTGAGAAATGCTGAGCATGCTCTTTCTTTTTGGTTTTCTGATTCCAGATCTTTGCACATTTTGTTGTAATATTTGACTTATTCTTCTTGAGCTGATCTTTGAAATTTTCTATTCAGCTCTTGGACCTCCTCATTTCTTCCATTTGCTTTAGCATCTTTACTCTGGAAATAAGTTTCAGTGTCTCTTCTGACATACATTTTGATTTTTTCCTTCTTTCTTGTCTTCTTAATGACTTTTTGCTTTCTTTCTGTATGATGTTCTTGATGTCATTCCACAACTCTTCTGGTCTTCAGTCTTTAGTGTTCAATATATAAAATCTGTTCTTCAGATGATCTCTAAATTCAGGTGGGATATATTCAAGGTCCTATTTTGGCTTTCATGGACTTGTTTTCATTTTCTTCAGCTTCAGTTTGAATTTGCATATGATGAGGTGGTCTGTTCCACAATCTGCCCCTGACCTTGTTTTGACTGATGATATGGAACTTTTCCATCGTCTCTTTCCACAGATGTAGTCAATTTGATTTCTGTATAGGGTTTCCCAGGCTATAAATCTTTACAGGAGCAGAAAGCTTAATCTTTCTCCCATGGAATTGCTGGTAGTTTCAAACCGCTTACTTTGAGATTAGCAGCCCAATTCGTAACCACTACGCTACCAGAGTTCCTTACTTATATGTATAGTTGTAATTGTTTTTTTAACTTGTCAATATCTCCCAGTAGACAGTGTTCCCTTCAACTAAAATTTTCTGCTACCTATGTTTTTTATATCTAGCATCCGATACAATGACTTATACAAAACATATAATTTCTAAGTGTTCATGGAACTAAACCTGAGGTCTCAAATTGGATAAGCAGTAGAGGGAAAGGATAGGAGTAGGAGTCATGGATATGAAAGCCGTTTATTGGATTTGTAAAGACTTAATCCTTGTTTCAATATTTATAGTGTAAAGGAATCCACGGTATGGTGAGTGTCAATTAAACCGGTCTTTCTCTGCATCTAAAAAGAATAACTTATTATATGTACACAAAAATAAAAGACACTTGGTTGTTAAGTGCCATTGAGTCAGTTTCCTATGAGTTGGAACCTACTCTAAACTCTACGGCAATTAACAACTAGTTTGAGGATGAAGTGTTTTGGACAATCCAGGTGGCTACGATTTTCTCTGTTCTTCCTTCTGTGTGCACCTTAGTGTTTTCAGAACAAAACACCTCCCTCAGTGACGCTTGAAATTTGCTATATATAGAACATAATAGGACTTCTGAGACTATAGCGCTAATATTTATGGGAACAAACCGCCTCATCTTTCTCCTGCACACTGGCTGGTGAGTTTGCAGTCAATCTTGTGGTTAGCAACCCAACGCTTAACCCATAGAATCAACAGGACTTTTGTTAGCAGCATTAAAAAGATACAATTCTGGGCTAACCACTCCTCCTCTATAGGGAGTCAGTCAGCAGCATGATGCAGTAAGCATCAGAACAAACAAGCATTACCATTGAGACTTGAAGTTTGTTAATATGGTTAAAAATATATAATTAGTCAAGTAGCCTAAGGGGTATTAATATAACTGGGTCCATTGTGTTCAGCCCTGGGTTATTCCTGGTTCTAAAATGTTTTGGAAGGCTTCCTTCTTTCTGTGTCTCCTCAGCTATGGTGTTATGGCTAGCATATGGTAGCATTAAACTTATAGTCCACCTAAGTGGATCTATCTGACCAGGGGAGACCTGCAATATGTGGGCTCCTATTGTGTCCCTCATCCACTAAGCCAGATAGAGGGCTATGTCAAAGAGTTCTTTATATCTACTAACAGAGTTCTGGAAGTCACATGGGCTTGGCATATGCTTTGAGTGTCCTATTTGAGGCCCTTATCCAAAACACAAAATGGGGGGTAGGTTTGGAAGGGTCATTATCACCACCTGGACAGCTTTTGAGTCAGTGAGACTCTTTGCCTGTTATATACAGTTTCTTTCTTGTTATAAATAATGAAAGGTACTTTCCATGTGTTATCTTGTGTTCAGACTTTGATCTGAATAACATGATGTCTATGGAGCAATCCAAGCAATCTAAAAACTGGGGATAATATGAGAGTGCCATGCACTTCAGGTGTAATGTCTGTTAGATTTGGGGGCAGCAAAACAGGGTCTGATGGAGCTGATGCATCCCCAGTATGGTGTATTGCTTTACAACTGACACTTATATTTGAGTTATTGTATGCCATGCAATATTTAAATCCTTTGAATATGTAACTTCATTTGACCCTCACACCAACTCTATGAAATAGGAAATATTGCTACCTCCGTTTTTGAGACAAAGGAACTAAAGCACAAAGAAGTCATGCAATATGCCAAAAGTTACATAACTAGTAACTGGTAGAACCAGGTTACCCAGTTACTTTAGTTCCATAAAGTATACTCTTAGCCAGATCATAGCTATTTTGTAGGCATAATTAAATCATGACTGCAGAACACTCAATATGCCTGGCATATAAAAAGCTTTAACAAATTTATCTTTCATTATACTACATTAAAAGTAGTAAAAATCATAAATTAATAAGTTTTATTGACCATACTATAAAATATTAGTATGAAAAAAGGGAATTGAATTTTTTTTTTCTTAACAATTCTCTGGAAAATTAATACTATATGAAAATAAAGCAAAATTTTATTTCTCTTATTAATACTTCTATAAGAATTCTGTAGGCATAAGTTTTAGGGGTTAAGAAATGAATGTACATCTGTTGATTAAAACGAAAAAAAATAAGTAGTCTAGTAAAGTTTTAAGTTGTGGCACTGTAGAGTAAGTACTAGACTCCTAACTACAAGGTAGGCAATTCAAACCCACTAGCCACTCCTCGGAAACTGTATACAGGATCACTATGAGTTAGAAATTACTCAACAGCACTTAACAACAAACAACAATTATACTGATGTGTAAAGATGTTTCTAATACTAGAATTGTATACATGTAGATATTAAGTTAATGAAACTCTATGCAAACATACCAGAGTATAACATTTAACATCAAGTAGAACCTATTGTCATTTTCCCATTTTTTCAGAAAATACTGGAGTGCTTAGTAAAGTATACTAATATCTTTTCATCATTATTATTTATTGTACTATTATTGTATATGTTTATTTTAGAGGAAATTACCACTGATTACAGATTCACACTCTAAAACTTTATTATTTTTAGGGTTTGAGGGCTAAAACAAACATTATAAATATCTTTCAGAAAATAATTTGAAGCAAGATGTCCTAAAACCAGACATTGAATAAGCCTAATAAGTCCCTAAAGATATTAACAAACATTTATTGAACAACTTTGCTGGATACTGTGTGATTTCTACTATCTTTGACCATTATAAATTATTTTAATTTTCTTGGTCTATTTTGTATAAGGCCAGATATGTTGATCCACAAATGTATTAGAAATTTTTAAATAAAAAAGAACAAAACACATATTTAACCAAGAGTAAGGGTGCTAAGCTATGTAATTATATCATGAAACTAGGGTCACTTACTTCCATCATCGCTAAAGTAACTTTTAGCCAGCTTAATAAGAGTAAAAAGTGGTAAATATATTCAAAGTTTCATATAGTAAAAATAGGTATCCTGGATCAATCCAACACTTTGTAACCCCATACTTCTTTGGAGATAAAGCTTTTGGCAGAAAATGGGCAAATTATGCAGTTGATCCACCACTTTCTAAAATTTTCTGTACTATTTTCTTGATTTTGGGAGCTTCTGGGTCCAGGCAGATTTTTCTTCCATCCTTCAGATTGGCTCTGCAAAGAGAGAACAGAATTGTCTATAAGTACCAGGGATTAACAATCAGAAAGAATCAGTGGGACTGGAGAAAATAGTGTAGGTGGAGAAGAGTGTGAGGTTGGAGGTAGAGGATGGAGGTATAGGTCTTCCTTAATGAGAAAACAGTATAGAAGCAAGAACTTACATCACTTCCAGTTTGTGGCAATGGGCTCCTGCCCTGACCACCTGTAAACTGCTGATATAACTGGGATGAATTCCAGAAGTGGTCTTCACACACATGCAGCGCAGTTCAACATGCAATGCATTTTCTGCACAGTTAACTGGAGTAGAAATTGTAACTGTATTAGTGACCACAAATACTTTTGGCATCTTATCTATGAATTTGTTTCCTCAGTTCCCTTATTTGCAAATTTAGATAAGTTACCTATCTCATAAGGTTATTATTAATAATAAGTCTTTATTAAATGTAGAAGAAGGTTTGACACTTGTTAACTGACCACTAAGTATAGGAGTCCTGGTGTAGCGCTGCAGGAGAATGCGCAGGAACACAAGGTCAGTTTGAATGGCACAGTCGGTTGTTCAAACCCACCAGAAAATCTTTGGAAACCATATACAGAATCACTATGAGTTTGGACCCAACTCAACAGCACTTAACAACAACAATAATAACAACAAATATAGCTACTTTTAGAGTTATTAGTATAATCATATTCTCCAACCCCAGGAGCACCAAGACTGTCTTGTCTGCAGAGGTAGTCACACTCAAAGGAAGCAGGACCTCAACCTTAAGATTTCCCCAAGTGTCTCTTACTTTCTTGGCTGGTGCAGGGAATTAGCACGGTCAGGAGCAGTGACAGAAGCAGCAACACCTGTAGGATGCCAAATGGGCTGGCACGGATGCAGGAAGAGGCAGTGTTGCATCTTAAGTTCATGGTGAAGATTTTGCTAGTTGGTTCCCAGAGCCAGGAGATCTCAGTGTGAGGGTGAATTGATGCCTAGAAGTCACCAACTGAGTGACTCTTCAGGCTTTTATACACACACCCTCAAGGCCAATGAGGAAGAAGGGAAAGGGGAGGAGTGATGAGGCCATGGAATGATACTTTAGGGTGCTGAGTTGTACCCAACCCAGATAAGCACCAGGAAAATTAGACTTCCGGTTAAATTGCACTTTTTGGTTCCCTTCATACTCCCATTCTCCCTTTCTTAATATCCATCTCCTTATATGAATGTATATAAGCTCTCTATTTAAGAAGGAAAGAAATAGACTGAAATACTATCAGTATTTTCTTTGTATAACTATGTAAAAATAATTCATAACTTTGCCATAGTGAAATTTTAGGCATATTAGACACTTTATAAACACCTGAAAACATAAACCTGTGGTACTTGAAGAGTTGCTAAATAAATAGTTACTCTTACCTTTGTTGTGGTTAGGTGCCACGGAATTGGCACTGACTCATAGCAACCCTATGTACAATGGAATGAAACATAACCTGGCCCTGCACCAACCACACAATCATTTCTACGCTTGAGACAATTGCTCTGCCACTGTGCAAATCCATACTGTCAGGGGTCTTCCTCTTCTTCAACCCTCCACTTGACCAACCATGATATTCTTCTTCAGGGACTGGTGCCTCCTGATAATATGTCCGAAGTATGAGAGATGAAGTCTGGCCATCCTGGCTTCCAAGGAGCATCACGGTTGTACTTCTTTCAACACAGATTGGTCTGTTCTTTTGGCAGTTGGTGGTACTTGTAATATTCTACTCCAACATCATAATTCAAATGCATCAATTCTTCTATGGTCTTCCATATTCACTGACCAACTGTCACATGAATATGAGGTTATTGAAAATACCATGGCTTGGGTCAGGCTGATGTTAACCCTCAAACTGACACCTTTGCTCTTTAATACTTTAACAAGATCTTGTGCAGCAGATTTGCATACATCGTGTGATTCCTTGATCATAGATGGTTAATCCAAGTAAAATGAAGTATTTGACACCTTCAATCTTTTTCCCCATTTATCTTTTTTTTAAATGTTTTCTTGTGAATTATGTGATAGTTTACATGGGAGAACATTAGTTTTACATTCATTTTATAGTATATAGTTTCATTGCCATGATTATAATCCCCTCCATTCATCATCAGCTAGCCTGACCCATGGTCGTCAACACAAAGCCCCTCTCCTTCTCTGGATCTAGAGTCCCCAGCCATTCCATCGCTCCATGTCACCATCTCTGCCTCCATCTCTGACATCGCTGCTTCTCTGGGTAGGGTCCCGCACTCCACTCTTCTCCTTTGATGATTCCAGGGACCTCCACTCCTGACTGCAAAGTCAAACATTCCCCTCATTTTGCTGCAAAATGTCTACCTTTACATTTCCAACCTTCACAATCAGTCCTGATAACAATTATTCACTATTGTGCCACATGAGTGCCTTTCTTCAGCCCCACACAGACAGATTGGATACTACTCAGTAGAGATTCTACCTTCCTCTGCACCCTCTGGATCTAGGCTCCCTCTTGAAATCTTGTAAGGCAGTCATTTCTTGCCTTTGTAGCCCCCCATTTTAGGTAGCCAATGTCCAAGTTATCCATCCCTGTCTACCCTGTGTATTGAGGGGGTGGGAATGATCCTCGCTGTATCTCCACTAATCTTAATGTTGTTTATTGGCCCAGTTGTGTGGATTTTTGTTTTCTTTACATTGAGGTACAATCCATACTATTGTCTGTGGTCTTTGATCTTCATCAGTATATATTTTAAATCTTTTTCACTTTCAACAAGCAAAGTTGTATCATCTGCATATTGCAGGTTGTTGATGAGTCTTCCTCCAATTCTGATTCCATGTTCTTCTTTATATAATCCATCTTCTTGAATTATTTGTTCAGTACACAGATTGAATTAGTATGGTGAACGAATGCAACCCTGGCACACACCTTTCCTAATTTTAAATCGTTCAGTGTTCCCTTGTTCTGTTTGAACAACTGCCCCTTGGTCTATGTGCACGTTCCTCATGAACACAAATAAGTGTTCTGGAATACTCAGTCTTTACATTGTTGTCCATAGCTTGTCATGATCCACACATTCAGAAACTTTTGCATAGTATATAAAGCACAGGTAAACATCTTTCTGATATTCTCTGCTTTCATCCAAGATCCATCGGACATCAACAATGAAATCCTGTCGTCCAAGTCCTTTTCTGAATCCGGCTTGAACCTCTGAAAGTTCTCTGTCAATGTATGATTGCATCCATTTTGTAATTATCTTTAGCAAAATTTTAGTTGCATGCAATATTAATAATAAAAGCTCTGGTAGCGTAGTGGTTACGAATCGGGCTGCGAACCTTAAGGTCAGCGGTTCGAAACTATCAGCCGCTCCGCGGGAGAAAGATGAGGCTTTCTACTCCCTTAAGGATTTACCTCGGAAACCCTGTACAGGGTCGCTATGGGTCGGAACCGACTCGATGGCACTTAACAACAACAACAATGATTCCTGCATTCTGTTGGGCCACATGTCTTTGGAATGGGTACAAATACAGATCTTGTCTAATCAGTTGGCTAGGTAGCTGTCTTCCAAATTTCCTGGCATAGATGAGTGAGTGCCTTCAATGCTTCATCAGTTTGTTGAAAAATTTCAATTTGTATTCCATCAACTCCTGGTGCCTTGTTCCTTGCCAATGCCTTCAATGCATGTTAGACTTCTTTCTTCAATGTCATTGGTTCTTCATCATATGCTACCTCTTAGTATAGTTAAATTTCAACCACTTTTTTTTGGTGAGTGCCTGTGTGTATTCCTTCCATCTTCTTTTGATGCTTCCTGCATCATTCAATATTTTGCCCATGGTGGTAGTGGTAGTGTGTTGTGGAGTCAGTCTCAACTCATAGCGACTCTGCATAAGATTTCCAAGGCTGCGAGTCTTTATGGGAACACAAAACCTCATCTTTCTCCTGTAGAATGGCTGGTAGTTTCGAACTGCTGACCTTGAGATTAACAGTCCGAATCGTAAGCAGTACAGTACAAAACCAACACAGCAAATCGAGATTTGAATATTTTCTTCAGGTCCCTCAGCTTGAGAAATGATGAACATGTTCTTCCCTTTTGGTTTTCTAACTTGAAGTCTTTGGACATTTTGTTATACTATTTGACTTTGTCTTCTCAAGATGCTTTTTGAAATTTTTTATTCAGCTCTTTTACCTCCTCATTTCTTCCATTTGCTTTACCATCTCTATGACGGAAAGTTTCAGAGTCTCTTCTGACATCTATTTTTGTCTTTTCCTTCTTTCTTGTCTTCTCAATGACTTATTGCTTTCTTCCTGTATGATATTTTTGATGAAATCTCACAATTCTTATGGTCTTTGATCTTTAGTGCCTAATGCATCAAATATACTCTTCAGATGATCTCTATATTCATCTGGAATATATTCAAGGTCATATTTGGGCTCTTGTGGACTTGTTTTCATTTTCTTTAACTTCAGCCTGAACTTGCATATGAACAGTTGATGATCTGCTCTACAATCTACCCTAGCATTGTTTTGGCTGATTATATGGAGCTTTCCCACAATTCTTTTTCCATAGATGTAGTCAATTTGATTTCTGTATATTCCATCAGGTTAGGTCTTTGTGTATAGTCATCTTTTATGTTGTTTGAAAAAGATATTTGCAATTAAGAATTCAAATACAGAAGTAGTCCCTTGCTCTTTCTTCCTAGTATGTCTTCCTCTGGAAGCTGAGCTGAATCCTGTCCACCATGGGTGACCATGCTGGTATTTAAAACATCTCTGACATACCTTCAAGAATCACAGCAATATGTGAGCCACCACAGTATGACAAATTGACAGATGAGTGGTTGAGCTCTTATCTCAGTTGTTGGTAGATATTGGAATTGGTTTAGAGTATGTGGATAAAATATGAGGCTCTCCTCCTGGTGTGGCACTGTGGGTTAATGCACCAGGATGCAAAGTCATTTGAACCTCAAGGTTAGTGGGTCAAGGTTACCAGCTGCTTCTTAGAAATACTGGGCTGCTGTGGGTCAGAACCAACACAAGGCATGGCCAAAGGCACATTTTGTTCATTGTTGTGTTGTTTTTGTTGTTGTTGTTATGTGCTGTGAAGTCAGTTCTGACTCATAGTGACCCTGTACAGGGTTTCCGGGGCTGTAAATCTTTACGGGAGCAGAACGCCTCATCTTTCTCCTGAGGAACATCTGGTAGTTTCGAACTGCTGACTTTTCAGTTCACAGCTCAATTCATAACCACTACGCTACAAGAGCTCCTTTATTAAGTGTGTCAAATTGGTTTCAATCCATAGTGGCCCTATTCACAATAGAAGAAAGCACTGCCCAGACCTGCACCATCCTCACAATATTGCTATGTTTTAACCCATTGCTGCTACTACTGTGTCAATCCATTTCCTTGACTGTCTTCCTCTTTTTCTTTAACCCTCCAATTTACCAATCATTGTCCTTCTCTAAGGACTGGTTCCTTCTCATAACATGTCCAAAGTATGAGAGAAGAAGTTCCATCATCCTGGCTTTTCAAATGTATTCTGACTGTACTTCTTCTAAGACAGATTTGTTTATTCTTCTGGCAGTCCATGGTTCTTTTAATATTCTTCTCCAACACTATAATTCAAATGCACTGGTACTTCTCTGGTCTTCCTTATTCATTGTCCAACTTTTACATGCATATTAGACTATTGAAAAAATACCATGGCTTGTATCAAGGGCACCTAGCCCTCAAACTAATGTCTTTCCTCTTGAACACTTTAAAGAGGTCTGATACAACAGATTGCCTAATGCAACATGTTGTTTGTTTGTTTTCTTTGCTGTTTCTATGAATGTTGATTGTGGAACCAAACAAAATAAAGTCTTTGACAAATTCAATCTTTTCTTTATTTATCATGATATTATTTATTACTCCTGTATGAGGATTTTTGTCTTCTTGACATTGCATTGAGGTGTAGTTCAATCTTTGATCTTCATCAGTAAGCATTTTAAGTCCTTTTTGCTTTCAGCAAGGAGGGTTATACTGTATGAATATAGCAGGTTGTTAATGAGTCTTTCTCCAATACTGAGGCCAAGTTCTTCTTCAGATAATCCAGCTTCTTGGGTTATTTGTTTAACATAGAGATTGAATAAGTATGGTGAAAGAATACAACCTTGGGGCACACCTTTCCTGATAATAAACCATTCAGTGTTCCCTTGATTTGTTGGAATGACTGCCTCTTAATCTACTTACAGGCTTATTGTGAGTACAACTAAGTGTTCCAAATTACTCATTCTCTACAATGTTTCTATAGCTTGTCATGATCCAAATAGTTGAAGGTCTTTGCATAGTCAATAATGCAAAATAAATAAATAAATAAATATCTTTATGGTATTCTCTGTTTTTAGCTAAGATCCATCTGATGTTAGTAATGATATCTCTAGTTCCATTTTCTCTTTTGTATCCAGCTTGAATTTCTGGCAGTTCTCTGTCAATGTACTGTTGCAACTGCTTTTGAATGAGTTAAGCAAAATTTCACTTGCATGTAATATTAATGATTTAGAATGTTAGCCTGTGGGATTTTTTCTGACTTTCAAATGTATTTTCCTTTAGAATTTCATCCCCAAACTAGATGTAAAAGTCATTCTCTCTTGCATTTTAAAATAAACTACTTGCTTTTGCCATTTTAGTATACTCTAAAATGCAAGGCATAATATCTATTTTTTATTTTATGTAGATTGTTACACAGCTTGCTTTTGCCCCTCAATAATATGTGTTTGGCATCCTTTCATGCTACCTAGTTGTAGTTCTGTCTGTTACTTTAAATAGCTACATGACATTCTGGGACATGATCCATTATTTTTCAATTCTCATCTTATTGATGATGTTGAAGGTGATTCCAGTTTTGTACTATGACAAATTGCAATAGAAGTTTTATTCTTGAATTCTCAGACCCTGATTTGGTCTTAGTCTCAAATGTACATATATAGACTGAACCCCACAGTAATACATACCATGGCATATACATTATATGTTGGTTTATATGTGTTATTGTCTGGTAGCAATCTTTGTTCCAGCCTTACGATTTACCTCTTCAGCTGGACTGCATACTTCGGAAGTTTGAGGCATGTCCACAATGTCTTTTGAATGATTCATAAATCCTATAGCCTGCAGGATATGCAATCCACAGAAGGTCCAAAGAAATATTAGTGAATAAATCAATAAACATGTAGGAATGTTTCCCTTTTCTCTTTAATCAGCTGCAGTTCCCAGACCAAAGCCCACACCAGAGATAAAGACAAGTTGGAAGGCTAGTGTGAAAGGATGGGAAAGACATAGCTAGACCATGTCAACTTCTTTTCCTACTACAGCTATCGTATATGTTTTAAACACAAAATCACTTAGCATTCCCATTTTAACTTCTGATTTTTGTTTCTATTTTTGAAATTCTAGAAGGAACTCTGAAAATATTCAATGTACAAAGTTACTTTTTATCAAAAATAATTTTCCCAGCCATTTTTCAGAAGTCTGGGAGTCAATTTTCTTGCTGCTTAATAGTTACTGAGTATTCTTGGTTACTGGAGTCCTGATATGATGCTGTAGGGATAAGCACTGAACCAAAAGGTTGTTTGAACAGCAAGTTCAGTGGTTCAAACTCACCAGCCACTCCTCAGAAACCCTATTCAGCATGGCTGTGAGTCGCAACCGACTCAACGACACTTAACAAAAAGAACATCCCTAGTTAAGTTTTTGTCCTGTATTATTTTTAATGTATTCATTATTTTTCACCATCCTGTTTTTGCTTCTGATAACAGAGTCTAGAAGTAGAAAATGTTCAACTAAGATGGTTTTCCACCTTTCCAATCCTCCAATTCCTATTCTGAGAAACAATATCAAAACACCAAACAGTTGAGGTGTGAAGTCATTTCTGACTCATACGGACCCTATGGGCCACAGGAGAACTACCTGCCCCACAGGATGTAAATCTTTATGAAAGCAGACTACCCCATTTTTCTCTGTGGAGCAGTTAGTGGGTTCAAACTGCTGACCTTTCAGTTAGCAGTCAAACACATATCCATGGTGCCACTGGGGCACCTTCTAAGAAGCAAGCCTAAAGGAAAACTTTAGTTCAAAATTATTATCTTCTGAAGTACTGTACTGTGGACTGAATTGCAGAGAGAAGCTCATCAATAAACAGAATAAGCAAGGTTATCTCTCTCAAGGCTGAAGACTTCATACGTTTACATAATTTTAGTACTTGAAATGTTTAAATAACAAGTCAGAAATCTCTGTATTCAAATGTAAACTCAGAACAATTTACCAGAGCAAGATATATTTATAGCATTATTCCTTTTTTTTTTTTTTTTTGGTGTATTGTAAATTCCACAAACATAGTACTCACTGTATTTATCATATTGGTTTCACAGGACACATTTTATTCCACATACATATACATTTATTTCCTGGTTTGCTTAGTAAGATTTCTCAAATGCACCTAATTCTTTTAGGGAAACTATAAGGAAGTTCTTCTGAAATAATGATGCTATTTGAGTTGGTTGGTTTCAGGAAAGAGACAGGCATAGAGCACAATAGCATCAAATAATTGTCTTTATCAACAAATGTTTCTTGTCACAACAGAAGCATATCCAGGAAGGTTCATTAGGAAGCATTAACAAATTTCTTGACTCACTAAAATTTCACAAGCTCATTAATCAGCATTTGAGGTAAGGAAACTTTTGCTAGTTTCATTTATTCAAAAGATATTGATTAAGCATCCTCCATGGAAATCCTATACAGGATCTCTATGAGTTGGAAGCAACTTGATGGCAACCTGGAGTCTTAGCATGGCACTGCAGGATAAGCACTGGACCGTAAGGTTAATGGTTCAAGCTTACCAGCCACTCTTTAGAAACTCTATACAAGGTAGCTATGAGTTGGAACTGACTCAACAGCACTTAACAACAACCACAATGGCACCGTAGGATAAGCATTGAACTGCTAAACATGAGATCAGCACTTCAAACCCACCAGCCACTCATTGGAAACCCTATACAGAGTCCCTATGAGCCAGAACTGACTCAACAGCAAGTGTTAGACACTACACATTTTCTTTGTTGTGTGATTTAGTAATTTATTTACATTACAAAAGTGAGACTTCACTTATTTTTGCTGTGCAATCAGGTATAAATGTCACTATCAGTACTTCTACTACTGCTGCTACTACAAGCATCATGACAGTTACTGTTACAATTAGCTGCTATTACTGTCATTTGCATGGGTTCCATGATGAGAAACAATACAGATACTGTTAAACTGGTGAAACAAAGGGATCTTAAAATAAGTTACCAAAAGCAGTTTGCTTATACGAAATTATGGTTTAAATGTATGTTAGAAGTTCTTGGGTTTTAAAATAATCTGATAGTCTTTTTATAACTCTTCCACTGTCATACTGTACATTTCATGGTTAGTTAGTTTATATATTTTTCCTTTAAGTCATTGTATAAACAGCAGAGTCATTCAGGAAGCTGTCAAGTTTTCTAAGACCCAAAGCAGAACTTATCTGTTTGCTATTTTTAAAGAAGTATCTGGAGACATTGGGGGACCAATATCCATTAAAATTAAGACGTAAATTAACTCTGCCTTATGTAGAACATTTTGAACTGTTGTTAGTTGCTGTCAAGGTGGCCATTTTGAATTGACATCTGTCGAATCTTTCTGTTATCATTGCAAGAAGTGTTATCATTTGCAAGTTAGTCATAAGAACAATATGTACCTAAAAAACTGGTGGTGGTGGTGGTGTACCAAGGAGTAGGTTACAACTTTTAGGATCCTGCAAAGGTTTTCTGAGGCTGGAGCAGAAAGCCTCATCTTTGTCCCATGGAATGGTTTGTAGTTTCAAACTGCTAATCTTGAGGTTAGCAGCCTGACTGGTAACCACTACACTACCACAGCTCCTTACAGAAGAAACTGGGTGGTAGTGGTGGTTGTATGCCACTGAGTCAGTTCCGACTTATATAGACCCTGTATAGGGTTTCCAAGACTGTAATTTTTTTAAGGAGTCCAAATCCTCATCTTTCTTCCACAGAATCACTGGTAGATTTGAACTGCTGACCTTGTGGTTAACAGCCCAGCTCGTGTAATCCACTATGCGTTCCAGGGATAATAAAAACCTGGACAGTTTGTTAAAGTAGTGATCTATCAATACAAATATGTTTTCAGTATCACTCTTCGTTGCTGTTGTTGTCAGGTGCCATCGAGCCGGAACAGACTCATAATGACCCCATGCACAGCAAAACCAAAATATGACTTTGAATTTATCCCACCTGAATTTAG